GCCTCGCACTTGCACTCTCAGACTTGCACTCTCAGACACTTGCGCTTCCGCTAGCGACGTCACTTGCAGGCTTTATTTTTTATTTTGTTCTATTTTTTATTACTTTTTGTTTGAATCGCTCAACATTTTACAACAGTAGCCAGGTGGTGAAGATAAGAAAAAAGAAACTAAATTACAACGTCACTTGCAATCGCCACTTGCACTCTCCGATACCTGCGACGTCACTTGCAATCGACATTATAAAATAAATATATATATTTAACTATAACAAACAATAGGGTAACAAATGACAAACTATTTCCATGTCTTCCACCTTTTTTATGTAGGCTACGGAAATCACGCTTTCTTTCTCCCAGTCTCTCCCACAGACGCACACACACTCGCGGAGACGCGAACAGAAACTAATAAAAACAAAGTTTTTTTTTTTTAGATAATGTAATCTTGTTAAAATTGATTTAATAAAATTGGTATCGAAAAAAGTATCGTTCAGGAACTGGTATCGAAGTCAAGGTATCGGTATCGATATCGAAAATTTTTGAACGATACCCAGCCCTACTTAGTAGTCAATTCAAGTCACTTTTATTCATATAGCGCTTTATACAATACAGATTGTGTCAAAGCGGTTTTACAGTGTTAAACAGGAAAAAAGTTTGTCAATGCAAGAGGACAATAACAATCAGTAATTTTTTCAGTTAAAGTCAGGCTTTATAAGAAATTAGCAAGATTTCAAAATGTGTATGATGTTCAATAGGGAGACCTGGCTAATATGGTCATACTTCTTGGTTCTAGTAAGAACTCTAGCTGTTGCGTTTTGGACCAGCTGGAGCGCAGAGAAAACCACCCAATAAAGCATTACAATAATCTAACCTTGAAGTCATGAACGGATGATGCATACCATAGGGCCGTTGCTAACTATTGGCAGAACAGGCATTTGACCTCTGCATTATGAAGGGCCTCTATAACTGTACCATATGTAACATGGGCCATGGCATATGTTTCATGTTTACATTGTATACCCTCCCCCCCAGGTACAATATTCTGATTGTTTGCATCTTGTTTTTAAGCCCATAAATAATAATAATGTACTCATTCTAATAAATTTATATTATAATGTACTCATTCTAATATATTAAAATCAGCTCAACATTGCTGGTAGGTTATCATTGCACAAATCAACACACTCTCTACGTTATTTACATTGCTGGTAGGTTATCATTGCACAAATTAACACAATTTCTACATTCAAAAAAAATAAAAATAAAAAAGAAGAGTTCTAAACTAATGCGCTGTCTTCACTGTACCTCACGCACACACGTTTAGTCAGATCACACTGCGCGCGCGCACAGACATTCTTTTTCGCGTTTAGACAAACTTTTTAGTGCTGCCCCGCAATTTTATCAATAAAATAGCTTAATCGCTGAAGAGCTCCATTATCTTTCTCAACAAGGAGCTGGCAACATCATCATTTCTAAAGCAATTAAAGCCACAGCTTCACTGTTAATAGAGAAATGCTGCAAAACGGTGGTAATTCATACACAGCCTCTCTCTCTCGCTCTCTCTCATAAATGAACACTTGATAAATTACACTTTTCTGAGAATAGAATATTGAAGTGAAGATCGCTAAACTGCAAGCTAACCGGTGTTTTCAGAAACCAAGCGCGTTTAAACAGTGGAGCGAGTGCGTGCACATGGCTACCAGGTTGACAAAGATAAGTAGCACACTTAGCAGATATTTCCCTATTGCGCAAGTGGGAAGCTCTGTTTTGGGGATTACGTCTCTTTATAGCCTATCAGGCAACACCGGTTGTGTTCCACTGCGGCCAGATTAAACCTTGTTGTAGCCAATATATTATGCTCTATTCATTATTTTTTAGAAACCTTGCACTTTTCTACTCCGTTTTAAATGGTGTTCTTGTATTCAAATTAAGCGCGGTCCACTGCAGCGCATGTGCCTCGATATCGATACAGGGCCTGCTGTATTGATACTTGTATCATTAGATCTCTGTGACGATACATCGTCGTATCGATGTTTTGAACACAGCACTATGTGTAGTCTGACCCCAGTAGAGTGCAGAATGTCTATAAATGCTGATCCCAATGCATATTTTTCATTATAAACATGGATATTAAAATCACCAACAATTAAGACTTTATCTGCAGCCAGCACTAAAATCAGAAAATTCATTGATAAATCTGTATGGTGCCCTGGTGGCCTGTATACAGTAGCCAGTACAAACGTCACAGGGGATTTATCATTAACACTTGTTTCTCTGGACAATGTTATATGAAGCACCATTACTTCAAATG